TTGATCTTGTCCCTCCAGGACGTGATGGTGTCGCTCTTGCTGCTGAGGTCCCTCTGCGTCGCCTGCAAATGAGCCTCCAGCTTGAGCAACTCCTCTTTCTCTGTGCCCTCGCACTCGTACTCACCCGACCGAACCTTCTCGAAGAAATCAGCGTCCCAGTCGAGCTCTAACTTGACTTTGTCATTCGCCTGCATACCTTTGGCCTGCTGCCCGTTGGCCTCGCCTGCTGGCACGGCTGTGAAGCCTGCCTGCGCTGCGAGGGCCTGGGCGGCCAACTTGCGAGCGATCTCTGCCTCTGCCAGCACACGCACGGTCTCGCTCTCCCTGGACTCGGCGCGAAGCAATGCCTCGCGGCATCGACTGACCTGCTGTACTGCTTGATCATGCTTGTAATTGGCGTCCTTCCAGGCGTTCGCTGCCCTCCTTACAGCCTCCTCGGCTGTCAGAGGAGGGGCGGCTGGCTTCACCTGCTGCTGGATGGCTGCCGTGAGAGCCGCCTTCAGCAACGGGTCGCTGGTGACGCCGAGGGCCTGGGTGAGGATGTCGACAGGGGGCGGCGCCACGGCGAGCTGAAGCAGGTTGCCTCCTGCCGCACCGCCACTGCGTCCGCTGCCGCCTTTACCTCCTGGCCCTGCATCGTTGACTGCATTCTTCGGCTTGTAGATCTTCACTGGCCGAAAACAGCGCGAGCACTTGTTCGAATTAGAAGCCAGCATGTCGTTCCACTCGTGCCTATTGCAGCCGTGGCACGTGGACCAAAGACGCGCTGGCATGGGCTGTCGATCCGTAGCTGTTGCCGTAGCCTTCGACCTTCCCATCTCTCACTCTTCGCCAACCAGATCTCCTGCGCAGGCTCGGGCAGCGGGGCTGCGCGCTGGCGCAGCTGACTGGTTGCCCCCCAAGCACCTCGTGGCGGTGGTGAGAGCTGGGCTCGGAGAGCTCCAAAATGGTGCTCGAGCCCAAGTTGCTTGAGGGAGGAGGAGGAGGAGGAGGAGGAGGAGGAGGAGGAGGAGGACTGGGCTCCTGGCCCCGTCGGATTGGGCTCGACGTGGCACGGCCCCAGCAGCCCGCGGCCCAGGTCGCCCGCCGCCCACGGCGGGCGGCGAGGCCGCCGGCCGCGCGGCGCCGCACCCCGAGCTGTCCTCCTCCTCCTCCTCCTCCTCCTCCTCCCTCCTCCTCCTCCTCCTCCTTCTCCTCCTCCTCCTCCTCCTCCTCCTCCTCCCTCCTCCTCCTCCTCCCTCCTCCTCCTCCTCCTCCTCCTCCTCCTCCTCCTCCTCCTCCTCCTCCTCCTCCTCCTCCTCCTCCTCCTCCTCCTCCTCGCGTGGACTGCTGCAGCTGCGGGCGGCAGGGCGCCTCTGCCCCAGGCGCCCTCCACAGAGCCGCTCGGGCGGAGCCCCCAGCCGGCATCCGACATGCACAGTATCGGCGGTGAGCGAGGGGAGAAGTGAGAAGGAGAAGGCCTTCTCAGGAGGCGGCGGTTCTTCTCAGAAGCCCTGGCGCCTGCGGAGAAGTTCTCTGCGTCTTCGGGGAGGGCCCAGGAGACTTCTCGGAAGGCCAGTGGACTTCCGAGTCTTCTGCCTGAGAACGCCCGTCCCTTCCCACCTCCCCCCGGGCTCGCCGCCGACACACAGGGCGAGCGGCTGCCTTGCGCGGGGCCCGCCTCTTGTGCCTTCTTGCGCTACTGCCATGCCGACGAGCTGTCCGTGACGTCGATGATTGAGGTGGCTTGCGAGGACGACGATGACGAGAACTGACGGGGGGCACCGTTGGGGATGTTCTTCAATGCTCAGTGCGGACGTGGCCGTGGCGACGTGTGAAGAAAGAGAAAGGGGGCGTGACACTGGCGGGTTGCAGCGTTGGGGTTTGGCCAGTGCTGGTGACCATGGTGAGCTCCTGCCCGTGCACCATGGTGGCATTGGTAGCCCGTACCCCGTGTGGCACTGGGGGCTGGCTTGCCAGCGTTGCCCCAGTGCGGGGTGCGCCTGTCCCAGTGTGGTCGCACTGGGCAGCCTGGTCAGGGGTGACCCCTGGGCTACCAGGTGGCGCGGTAGGCCCGTTCCCTTCGTTGCATCACGCCTACCAGTGGTAAGTGTGGTGGCGCCAGGTCCTCGTCTGATGCTCCTCCTGAGTCCTGGTGCATGCGTCTTCCTGCCCCTGGGATCGGTCGGTGTGCCTGGTAACTTGTGCTGCACGCAAAACCGTCGGTTGTGCGTGAGGCACAAGTTTTAAGGCCGACGGCCGACGAACTGCTCGCAGTTCCCAGGGTCTTGGGGTGGCGCGTGCTGGTGGAGGGGTCTCGGCGGGAGCTGGCGGAAGCGTAGGGTCTCGGCGGGAGCTGGCGGAAGCACGTGACTCTGGCCATTTCCACTGCTGGTGATGTGGTTCTTTCAGGTGCCCCAGAATGCGTAAGAAGACTAAGGAAGTAAGCCTGGGCTGTTTGCGTCAAGATTTCCATTGACACAACTTCTTCGAACCCTGTTTGCGTCAAGATTTCCATTGACACAAATTCTGATGGCTTCCGCAGCAGTGACATGTCGTGAAGCAAGGGTGTCCGTGTTGACTTCCGCAACAGTTGAGGTCGTGAAGCAAGAGTGTCCGAGATGGCTTCCGCAGCAGTTGAGGGGGCTGGGTAGCAGAGGAGCATCCTGTTGCCTTTTGGGCTCAAGTGCCGCGGATTCCGATTCCCTCCGCTCCCACCCCGGAGCGGCACTTGAGTTGAAAGGTAATTGACAGGTGTGCCCAAGTCGTGTTGGGCAGGGTGAGCCCTGGACCTGTTCTGCTGTTGGTGCAGTGCGGCCGCGCGTGCCTGCCGGCAGCACAGGGCCGTTGCTCATGACCGTGGTGGGCTTTAGCCCGTGCACCGAGTTTTGAGGGCTGAGGCTCCAGGGATTGGGCAAAGACCCGAGGGCACACTCGGCCACTCCGTGGCGAGAGGCACGGTGGCGGATGAATGTTACAAATGTTGAAATCGAATGCGCGCGGCGCTAAGGGGAGAGTCCAAATTTGAAGACGGTCCCCCTCTCCATCCGTTCACTTGTTGCAAACTTGTCAGGCAAGGCGCGCGGCGCTAATAGGAGAGCCCGATATTGAAAACTGCCCCCTCTCCGCCTGTATGATTGCTGCAGGCTTGCAAGACGAAAGTGCGCGGCTCGAAGGCAAGATCCTCGTCATCGTTGTCTAAATTACCCCCGATCCACCCGTGTAAACGATCCAGTGTCATAAATGATGATCCGCCATCATTGATGATGATGATGATCATCATCATCATCATGATCATGATCATGATCATGATGATGACGATGACGATGACGATGATGATGGTGATGATGATGGTGATGGTGATGGTGATGGTGATGGATGATGATGATGGTGATAATGATGGTGATGATGATGATGATGATGATGAAGATGATGATGATGATGATGATGATGATGGTGATGATGCTGATAATGCTGATGATGATGATGCTGATGATGATGATGGTGATGATGCTGATGATGATGCTGATGATGATGATGGTGATGCTTATGATTATGATGCTTATGATGATGCTGATGATGATGATGATGCTGCTGATGATGATGGTGGTGATGATGCTGATGATGATGCTGATGGTGATGATGATGATGCTGATGATCATGATGCTGATGATGATGATGGTGATGGTGATGATGGTGGTGATGATGATGATGATGATGGTGATGATGATGATGATGCTGATGATGATGATGCTGATGATGATGATGCTGATGATGATGATGGTGGTGATGATGCTGATGATGATGCTGATGATGATGATGCTGATGATGATGATGCTGATGATGATGATGGTGATGGTGATGGTGATGGTGATGGTGATGATGATGATGATGATGCTGATGATGATGATGATGATGATGATGATGATGCTGATGGTGATGATGGTGGGGGTGTCAGGCGAAACGCCCAGGCCGCCCCACCGAGGGGGGTGCGGCATGGAGAGCCAAGGTCGCCCAAGTGGGCTCGCAGCAGACGGGGCCAGAGAGGATCGCGCCGCATCGCCGATGCAGCAGCGATGGGGCTCGATCTGGGGCCCGACTTTTTGTTTCGGGGGTGGACAGAACCCCCAACAGTGACACGTCTATTAGCGAATTGTCTGTTTTCGGTTCTCGAGAGGGCGCCGTGGCCGTTATTTTCCAGGCTTGCGCCCGCCAGGTTTGGGCCTCAGGTCGTTTTCGCTAAACCACGTTTTACTAAAGGGAGGTCTGTCCATCTCCGAATCTGGGGCCCGACTTTTCGTTCCATCCCGACGTCACCGGCGCATCGGCGATACGGCGCGACCCTCCGACCCCATCTGCTCGGACCCCACGCGGGCGGCCTCCCGAGGAGTTACTTGTGAGAAACTCTGATACAGTGAGGGGGAGGAAGAATATGTGGAGAGGAGGTCTTGGGAAGTGTGCACAGGGGGCCATTCCAGGCCTCGTGCAGGCGTCCGACGGGGGGGGGAGAGGAGGGCGAGGAGGAGGGGTTGACTAGTGGATGTTGGCCTGGGCCGCGTCGGTGTTGTTGCAAAGAGAGAGCAAGAGAGAAAGACAGAGAGAGAGAGAGAGAGTGGGAGAGAGAGAGAGAGAGAGTGAGAGAGAAAGAGAGAGAGAGAGAGACTGGGGGAGAGGGAGAGAGAGAGAGAGAGCGAGAGCAGATCACTGCGCATGCAGCGAAGTTACCCCACACACAGGCAGGAGGAGGAGAAAGAGGTGCAGGAGGCAGAGAGGGTAACCAGAAGGGCCGCAAGCGCAATCAGACTAGGAACATCGCAAACGCGGGCTTTGTCACATCAAAGGAGAGGAAACACATAATGGATGAGGGGGCGACCTGAAGTGCATGTCCTAGGGACTGCGGAAGCTGTTCCTATCCCAATGTCATTGCCAACGTAGTTTCGATCACGGTCTTCACAATGACGTTTCCCGGTGGTTGTCTGGCAGCCGTCAGACATCTTCCTCGGCGCCACCCCCTCCTGCAGGTGATACGTTCGAGCATTTCCAGGGCCAGGGGTACAAGCTGTGAGAGGAACGCTGGACTGGCATTATCGAATTCCTTTTTCTGATGTGGGTTGCTTGTTGTTCCGCTCATTCCAGTGACGCATCGTCCCGCAAGCAGGGCGTTGAAAGGCACATGTGGGGGGAGGAAAAAAAGTGGGGCAAGGAGGGAGCACTATTTGGTAGCGGTCGGGGCTTCCGAGGGCGAAGCAGCAGGGATAGCGGGAGCTCAAGAATAGGAATGGACGGGATTGAACACATCTTCTAAACATCACGCTGCAATGCATGCGGAAACAGAGTCTGATAACAGGCCAGAGCATGTCAGTTGGTTGCATCGGATCGGAGCGCGGGGGGTCCATTCACGCGGGCAGAGGCAGCCAGGCAGGCCCCGGCCTGCCAAATTCTTAAAAGTGTGTTGCTCGGTGTGGTGTTGAGAGTACTATTAAGTCGGGCTTGTCCCTCTACAGGGGGAATATTAAATAGTTCTTAATTATCTAAAAAAAGTATGGGGACTCTTTGGTGAGTATGTTTTGATCATTTGGGAGTATTTGTTGAGTACTTTTTTTGTTTTTCGTCGAAAATCCCCCTGTAGGGGGACGCGCCCGACTTAAGCACCCCAGCTTCCTAGAGGGATTGCCTCGGGCGTTCGTAACCCTAAACTGGCCCACGAGCGGCCCAAGAGCTTCCCTGGCCGGCCCCAGAAGGTTCCCAAGATGGTGAACAGGGCCCCGGAAGGGCCTCCAGAAGGGCCCAAAAGTTGCCAAGCGTCAAGGTGGTCCAGCGGGGCCCCTACAGGCACCAGTCGGGGCGCACGCTTGCCGACGTGATTTTCCCCGATACGAGTACTTGAAGTAGACAGCGTTGTTGTTACAATAGACGCTTCGCGTAACTACACCAGACCATCCAGAAACGATGCCCAGGCGAGTTGACTTGGTCAGGGATGCGGAGGAGTTGGAACAAAAGGATTGGGGAGCAGTCACAACCCAAGAGGGGGAGGATGGAGGAGGAGTCGGAGGGGGAGGAGGGGGAGGTGGAGAAGGGAGGAGGGAGGAGGGAGGAGGAGAAACAGGTGGAGGAGGAGGAGGAGGAGGGTTAGCAGAAACGCCGGAGGCCTCTTGGATGCCTCGGAGTCTCTTCGGGTGTCTCCTGAGAGTTCTTGGAGTCATCTTGTAGCGTCTTCGGGGGCCTCTTAGCGGTCCTGGGGGCCTCGTCGAATTTTTTCCCAACCCTCTTTGTGTTGGGTACTCGTTTTGACAAGAGAACTGTGGTATCCACTTCCCGCCCGCTCCTCCTCCTTCTCTCCTGTGTTCGCGGTGCCCTGGGGGGGGCTGCGATTTGCGCAAACTGTCGCCACCTTCGTGGGCTCCTGGCTGTCCCCTGCGGGGCTGCGATCTGCGCAACTGTCGCCACTTCGTGGGTTCCTCGGAGGCCCAGCGGAGGTACGTCATACGCAGATCACTTTGAGGCCTCCCTGTCCCCTGCGGGGCTGCGATCTGCGCAACTGTCGCCACTTCGTGGGTTCCTCGGAGGCCCAGCGGAGGTACGTCATACGCAGATCACTTTGAGGCCTCCCTGTCCCCTGCGGGGCTGCGATCTGCGCAACTGTAGTCACTTTCGTGGGCTTCTGGGAGGCCCAGCGGAGGTACGTCATACGCAGATCACTTTGAGGCCTCCCTGTCCCCTGGGGGGGGGCTGCGATCTGCGCAACTGTCGCCACTTTCGTGGGCTCCTGGGAGGCCTAGCGGAGGTACGTCATACGCAGATCACTTTGAGGCATCCCTGTCCCCTGGAGGGCTGCGATCTGCGCAACTATCGCCACTTTCGTGGGTTCCTGGGAGGCCAAGCGGGGGTACATCATGCGCAGATCACTTTGAGGCCTCCCTGTTTCGTTGGCGCACCTGGCGCGCACCTGGCGCGCACCTGGCGCACTTGACGCACCTGGCGCACCTGGCGCGCACCTGGCGCGCACCTGTCGCACCTGGCGCACCTGGCGCGCACCTGGCGCGCACCTGGCGCGCACGTGGCGCACAGGGCGCACCTGGCGCACATGCCGCACCTGGCGCACCTGGCGCACCTGGCGCGCCTGGCGCGCCTGGTGCACCTGGCGCACCTGGCGCGCACCTGGCGCGCACCTGGCGCACCCCTGGCACACCTGGTGCATGTGGCGCTCCTGGCGCACCTGGCGCGCTGGGCGCACCTGGCGCACCTGCCACACCTGGCGCAGACCTGGAACACCTGGTGCATCTGGCGCACCTGGCGCACCTGGCGCACCTGTCGCACCTGGCGCACATGGCGCACCTGGCTCACTTGGCGCGCCTGGCGCAACTGGCGCACATAGCGCACCTGGCTCACTTGGCGCGCCTGGCGCAACTGGCGCACCTGGCGCACCTGGCGCAACTGGCGCACCTGGCGCACACGTGGCGCACACCTGGCGCAACTGGCGCACTTGGCGCGCGCTTGGCGCGCACCTGGCGCGCACCTGGTGCACCTGGCGCGCTGGGCGCACCTGACGCACCTGGCACACCGGGCGCACCTGGCGCACCTGGCGCGCCTGGCGCGCATGCCGCACCTGGCGCGCTTGGCGCAACTGGCGCACCTGGCGCACCTGGCGCGCCTGGCGCGCACCTGGCGCACACCTGGCGCACCTGGCGCACCTTGCGCATCTGGCGCACCTGGCGCACCTGGCACACCTGGCGCACCTGGCGCACCTGGCGCACCTGGCGCATAGGCGCACCTGGCGCACACCTGGCGCACACCTGGCTCGTTTGGCGCGCCTGGCGCACCTGGCGCACCTTGCGCGCTTACCGCGCCTGGCGCACCTCGCGCACCTGGCGCACCTGGCGCGCCTGGCGCACCTGGCGCATCTGGCGCATCTGGCGCACCTGGCGCACCTGGCGCACCTGGCGCACCTGGCGCACCTGGCGCACCTGGCGCACTTGGCACACCTGGCGAAAACCTGGCGAAAACTTAGCGAACGTGGCGCACCTGGCGCCTTTGAGGCCTCCCTGTCCCATTGGCGCACCTGGCGCACGTGGCGCGCTGGGCGCACCTGACGCACCTGACGCACCTGACGCGCTGGGCGCACCTGGCGCACCTGGCGCACCTGACGCACCTGGCGCGCACCTGGCGCGCACCTGGCGCGCACCTGGCGCGCACCTGGCGCGCACCTGACGCACCTGCCGCACCTGCCGCACCTGGCGCGCCTGGCGCGCCTGGTGCAACTGGCGCACCTGGCGCACCTGGCGCGCTCCTGGCGCACACCTGGCACACCTGGTGCATCTGGCGCACCTGGCGCACCTGGCGCGCACCTGGCGCACCTGCCACACCTAGCGCAGACCTGGCGCGCCTGTCGCACCTGGCGCACCTGGCGCACCTGGCGCACATGTCGCACCTGGCGCACATGGCGCACCCGGTTCACTTGGCGCACTTGGCGCAATTGGCGCACCTGGCACACCTGGCGCAACTGGCGCACCTGGCGTACACCTGGCGCACACCTGGCGCAACTGGCGCACCTGGCGCGCGCCTGGCGCGCACCTGGCGCGCACCTGGCGCGCACCTGACGCGCTGGGCGCACCTGGCGCGCTGGGAGCACCTGGCGCGCACCTGGTGCACCTGGCGCGCTGGGCGCACCTGACGCACCTGGCACACCTGGCGCACCTGGCGCACCTGGCGCGCCTGGCGCGCCTGGCGCGCATGGCGCGCCTGGCGCAATTGGCGCGCTTGGCGCGCACCTGGCGCGCTTGGCGCGCACCTGGCGCGCACCTGGCGCACACCTGGCGCACACCTGGCGCACCTTGCGCATCTGGCGCACCTGGCACACCTGGCGCACCTGGCGCACCTGGCGCACCTGGCGCGCTAGGCGCACCTGGCGCACACCTGGCGCAAACCTGGCGCACCTGCCTCACTTGGCGCGCCTGGCGCACCTGGCGCACACCTGGCGCACCTGGCGCACCTGGCGCGCCTGACGTACCTGGCGCATCTGGCGCACCTGGCGCGCTGGGCGCACCTGGCGCACCTGGCGCACACCTGGCGCACACTTGGCGCACACCTGGCGCACGCTTGGCGCACCTGGCGCGCCTGGCGCATCTGGCGCGCCAGGCGCACCTGGCGCACCTGGCGCACTTGGCGCACCTGGCGCACCTGGCGCACCTGGCGCACCTGGCGCACTTGGCGCGCCTGGCGCGCTTGGCTCACCTGACGCGCATGGGCTTCTGGAAGGCTCAGCGGAAGTACGTCCTACGCAGATCACCGTTATACCATGGCGCCGAAATGCCCTTCGGTATTGAGTGGTCCTGAATGCAATTGTCACTTGTGTAGAAAGGGTTGGGTACGTCGCAGGATAATTGTTTGTGCTTGAGGGTCTCTTGGGAGACTCTTGCGGACCTCATGGAGGCCTTTTGGGGCCTCCTTGGCGCCTCTTGCGTCACTCTTGGCAGCCTTGGCGCCACCTCGGGGCCATCTTGGAGGAGATCGATCAAAGAAGGGGGGCTCAATCAGCCTCCCCCCATGAGGCCAATGATCCCAAAACCGAAATAACATCAACGATGTGTGCCTTCTCGTCGAGGCCGCCCTGGACGCTCCAGTGCCCCCCATCTAGACCCAGGGGGAGGGGTAAGGGGAGGGGTCAAGCTACCCACCCGCCCACAAGCCGTCTAGTTCACTCCCACCCGCCCTCCCTACACATAAGTAACACCCGAGCCTGAGCATGTTCAGCGGTCGTCTTTGGATGGACAGCTACCGGGAGCCAAAGCCGGCCCCAGGTGCGCGACGCTTGGGCGAGGTGCGCCACTCGTGCCAGGGGCGCCACGCGCGTTAGGCACCCCTGGGGCCCGAGCGTGCCAAGCACGCCTGGTGCGCCACGTGCTCCGAATGTGCCAGGTGTGCCGCACACTCCAGCTGCGCCAGGTGCGCCTGTGCACGTGACAGCACACATCGGGAAACATGTCAGCTTCCGCCATACTTGTCGAAAATCGATACCCATCATTGTGTTTGGTGGGCCTGCACACAGCAGGCCACGCGCCACCACCC